CGATTCCTTTTCCGATCCCATGTGTTCTATTTCAAAATGTTCTGTCAAAAACTGTAAAACCTGGTATATTTTGATTACTAGGTCTTCGTTTTCTAGTAATTTTACTGGACAAAATTGGGAAAATCCGAATTGCAAATCTTTTAATGTTGTCTATGGAATAGACTGTACCCTTTGTTGGCTTATTTATGTTGGTGAAACCAAGGGTTCACTTAATAACAGAATATCGGGGCATAGATTTCAAATTAACAACTGGGGCCAGCAGAGTCCATACAATTTGAAATCACAAAATTTTACCAAAATCAGTAACATAAAAACTTACTTAAAGTCCAGGCTTTTTGGCATCATTGACAGATACTTTTTCAATAAAAATGGAACTCACAAATTTACTTACCTTGTCATTGGTCATTTGCAAAATTATTTTGCTAAAAACATTCTGATTGTACACAGAAGTACTCTAAAGATGGTATGAAAAAGATGCTTGAGTTTCTGATTGACAATACCTATGTGGTTTTTGGAGACGAGGTCTTCCAACAATCTGTTGGAATTCCCATGGGTACCAACTGCGCCCCCTTATTAACAGACCTATTTTTGTATTCATATGAAGCAGAATTTATTCAAAATCTTACGTATTATCAATTAACAACAGTTATTTCCATTCATACGTCGACACGATATATCCCAGTGAGCTTGAAATAAAAGATACCACAGAGTCTGACACATCTGTTTCATATTTGGATATTTTACTAGAAAAAACGTTAGTGTTAATCTAACAACAAAGCTTTATGGTAAACGTAATGACATTAACTTTTTAATCGCAACTTCCCCTACGTATGCAGCAATATACCCTTATCACCTGCATATGATGTGTATATCTCTCAGTTGATTCGATACGCAAGAGCATGCTCTATATATGAACAATGCATAAAACGAGGTAAGTTACTGACAAACAAGTTGATGAAACAAGAATATAACAGTCTCGTTTAATGTCATCATTTCGTAAGTTCTACGGTCGATACAATGACCTTGTCAGCAAATACAGTCTATCATTAAGTCATATGCTGCTGACGTTTTTTATACTTATTGTTAGGCCATTATTTACACACTGAATTGTCGACGGATTTTTCCATTATTTCCCGATCATGACAAGGAGCACACGGCGGGTGTGACTGATCGGCAGGGGATGCTCACTCCTCCATGGGACCTGATCCTACCTCTGAGATTTTTGGAGTTCCGTGTTTGCTTTGCTCCCGATTTGTATTGTTTTAATGGACTTTGAGCTTGAATACTGTTCCTTATCTCCATATTTCATTAGGAGTGTTCCGTGGTGACAAACATGTTGACTTTAAAATAAAGTAACATGAATTCCATTTAATCAAATGGAATGAAACTTCACACATCGACAAAATGAATCTTTGCACTTGAAAATGTGCTGATCATAAATCTTGTTAAAATAATATGATGAAGAGTGATATTGTCTACATATTTTTTGAATGACCCTCGTATCCTCAAGTTCATTTTCCTGATTTTATCTACAAGTTTACGAATTCTCTTTTCTCCTTTTATTTACAATATTACAAAGAATTGTTTTAAATTCTGATTTTAGTTACACGTTAATGAACAGTTCGCTTTTCTGATTTTACCTACAAGTTTACAAAGAGTTCGCATTTTCTTATTTTATCTACAAGTTTACAAAGAGTTCGCTTTTCTGATTGAAAATGAAAAAAAAAAATTGACCTATGTCTTGTGCAAATTTCAATCAAATAATCAGATAACATTTATATGGATATATGTACATGCATAAAGACTTTACAGAAAGAATTGGAAATAAAGTTCTTGACCTTTAAATAAGAATTGCCTCGTTCAAAAAGGAGACAAAGATATATAAAAACCCTTTTCACTGGAACCATTGGATCAGTTTTTACATACATTTAAGCTTCATTATTTAAGATCGTTTCAAATCCAGTATGAATGCAGTTCTTATCTTACCGTGCACGTCCAGTGCGGAACATTTTTATTTGCATTGGGACGTCCTCGAAAATGTCATTGCTCCAAATTAAGGCCGTAAAAGAAAAGAATATATTGTGTTCAACCAAAAAAAAAAAAAAGAAAAAAAAAAAAAAAAAGAAAAAAGAAAAAAAAAAGATCCTTCTTGAACTCTAAACTTGTGCTCTACCAACTGAGGTAGAACTTGGTTTCTGACGAACAAAACTACTGACAAATACAATTGTACATGGATTTCCCTCTTTCAATTTTTTGATATTTGAAGAAAACAACCCAAGTTCATCACTGGCAAGTTTACATCCCCATAGGAACCCGAGATGGGGTATGTGCCCCAAATAATTTTGCCACTATATACTGTACAATTTAGTAAGAAAGGAAGCCTGCTTAAGATTGTGCCTCCACAATAATGAAGCCTAAGGACCTTTTTTCAATACTTTTTTGTTTCTCCTAAAGGAATTTTTGTTAGGTTGTGCCTCCAAACTAAATTTGTTAGGTTGTGCCCCCTCCCCCAAACTGAAATTGCAGCGCACAGTATGTATCACCGGCCCATTTTATGGGTCTGAATCAGGCACGGCACTAAATTTAACAAGGAAAAGAAAGTAGAAAGTGCGATCGACAAGACCAGGATTCTAATCCTGGTACCCAGCACTCTGTCTATGTGCTCTATCAACTGAACTACCTGGTAAATGGTAGTCAAACCTGCTGGTTGCAGGTACATGCAAAGAAAATCTTTCAGCCAGTCATAAGACACATACAGGTACAAGTTTATAAGAAAGCACCTGTTAGCTAGCATGTTTTTTTTTTTGAAATTCCACGTCTAGTCTGCTATTTTTTACAAAATGAAATGGCCAAAAGGACACCATTGAATTTATAGACACAACAAATACTAGTAGAACAAAGCAGATAAAGGATGCCAGGAACTACAGAAAAATTTACCTATGCTTTTCAACGAGACAGGCTTACAAAAGTAGCTTTCATATATAGTAAAATACACGAAGAAAATGCTGGGGTGTTTTGATAAAAAGAAATTCAAATTATGTCCCCTCTAATACATGTATGTCTAAAATCCCTTGCTATCAGTGTAGAATCTACATTATATTTCGATAATGCATGTAGATGTAGTTGAGGGGAACATTGTCAACAAGGTGCAGCAAAGGTTGACAATGGTTTTCGAGGAGTGAAAATTTTCAATGTTACCCTCAACTACATGTACATGCAACATCAAAAGATAATAATATTAAAGATTCGACTCTGATAGCAACAGGGTAGTTACATTGCTAATTTTTCAATATTTCTCTCAATGAAAACCTAATAAGAAATTATTAGAAAAATGTAAAAATTGACCATTGAAAATGTTCTCAAAAACTTTACAGTAACAAAACTTCATGAATATTTCTAATTTTTTAAAGATTATATTGAACTGACAAGTTATATTTTTACCAAATTATGTATCTTGGCCGAACATGAAGTTGTTTAACTAAAGAGATCACGTTTTTAGTGAGAGAGGCACCTATTTAAGCAAATATATTTGGATTTGGAAGAAAATAATCGTTTGTGTTTTTCATCCTTAAACAGTCATATACAAACTTGTAAATAGTACTATAAATGGTATCTCCTTCCTTGTCTGTTGGATATAAATAAGCTTATAAGGTTCATTATTCCTTTGTTCACTCATAAAAAATTTTGATTTTCCTAAAGTGACCTTATTTTATATACGTTAAAAAGCACACTATTTCAGAGGAAAGAAGATTGACGAACAAGGCGAGCAAAATACGTATTGTTCGAGAAAAGTGAACAATTAAATCTCAATTATGTCCATTTTTTCTTTGATATTTATTTAACATTAACGTATACTTTATGTAAAATTTCCACAAATCGCAACAATCTCACAAAGATTGAAGTTATTCCTCTACAAAATAGCATACATAATCAAAGAGGGCAAAAATGATCAATTCTTGTACTAAAACGCAGTTTTTCCATGCGAGTGGGTCTTCCCTCCATTTTTTTTTTTGAAAGATTATACTCATAGTATGCGTAAAAATATACATTTTTAGGTTAACATGAAACATGGAGCAAAGACCCACTTAACCTTAAAAAATACACTTTTATGACACATTCTTGTTAGTCTCGAATGGAAAATTGATATTCAGATTATTTATTGCATAGGTTCGAACACCAAGAATACCTGTTTTTTTTTAATCATAGAATGATTTCTGCAGAGAGAATTTTCCGCAGTTTCGTTTGTCATGATCTCATACCTTTCAATGATAAAAATTTTACTCTAAAAACTTAATTCACTGAAACTGACTTTTATACATTTGAAACTATAAGCATTTTTCATGCCTTATTCGCCCATTCCCTTTGACAGAAATCGCTGTAGTCAGCTCAATCACCCTCCAATATCAATTGAAAGACGTGGAGATAATAAGAAATAGGAAAAAATTCCATCAAGAAATTACTATTAATAAAGTTTTACTCTCAGCAGCTTAGTTATAGCCTCCCACTGTTTAAATCAGGAATACTTTTTTTTCTGTAACATGTTTAAAAATACCTCAGGAAAAAATGCAAATATATTAGCAAAATTGTAAAGTGGGTTGGGGGTGGTCTGATCTTTGGATGAGAGAACTTGAATATCAGCAGCAGAGTTGAATTTAAGTGATGTATGCTGTGCTGATGCTGTATTTTTTTTCATCTTCTAGATATTTTTTTTTCTTGGGGATAACTTTTACTAAATATTATCATATAACAAATGAAATGGGGCTGTTATACTGTGCACTGAAATTTTATAGCAAACTACATCTGGATTCATACAGGTACTCCTTCAAATTATTCAATACTGTGAAGAAAAGCATAACAGAATTTAAAATCATTGGTCTTGTTCATTGCATACCTTTAACTTAGATGTAAGTGCTATGTAGTTCTATCAACATTGGAATGTAAGAATATCACAGGCAATGATTAGGTAAAAAATATGGCAAAAATAAACAATAAAACAAATCTCATAATTATATTTTTCTTTGCACTTGCCAAAATCAATATAAACAACATATGTAAAACATATTAAGATTAACTACTAAGCATATATGTATCATGTTTCAAATAAAATATGTACATGCTCATCATATGTATGTAACATGTTGAAAAAAAAAGTCAACCTTCACGTGTCAGATACGTGAAAAAATACTCATATAACTCATTATTATGAAAATGTCCAGTTGTTTTAATTTCTCATTTTTTAATATTATACTTTAGAAGCATATATTTGTTGTTACAATTATACATGTTTACACTTTAACAATCAGGAATCCGCTTTTTATGAAGAAACCCTTCTATACAAAATTGATATAGAACTAATAAATTTCAAAATACATACATTTTGATATAATGTGAATAAGTTTATATAAAATTTACAGACGCCTACAAAACAAGAGGCCCAAGGGCCTTGAATCACTCTTCCGATAAACTGTACAACCTATCACTTCTATTTGAAGCCTCTAAGTATCCTGTATATTTAGATAAACCCTTGAAATTCCAATTCACACTCTAAGAACCCAGGATGATTCTAAGCCAATTAGTACCTGAGAGTTGGTCATGGTACACTTGTCACTCTCTGAGGACCCATCAACTAAGTTGGATGATTCTAAGCCAATTAATACCTAAAATATTTTTTTTAAAAATTATAACCACAAAATTTTATAAGTAGTATAGGTCAAAGTGACCTACTTTTCAGTTGTTGTACTCCGAAGACCCAAGGTACATCGACTGACAAAGTTTGATGATTCTAAGCCAATTAGTACCCAAAATATTTAATTAAAGCCATAAATTTTCAAAAGTAGGTCAAGGTGACCTACTTTTTAGATGACGTACTTTGAGGACCCAAGATACATCAACTGACAAAGTTTGATGATCATAGGCCTTAAATTGTTCAAAATATGCCTCTAAATCATTTTGAAAAAGAATGGCCGCAAAATTTAAAAAGTAGGTCACCATGACCTACTTTTCAGTCAACATGATATGAGGTCCTTAGATGCATCAACTGACAAGATTTGATGATCCTAGTCCTTATAGTAAGCAAAATATCAACATTTTAATAAAATGTAATTTTTGGTCAACTGTGAAGTGACCTTGAGACCACGCCCTTTGCCCCAGGGTAAATCCCCGTGCAAATTTTAATCTACAGCATATCCTCATCCTTTTGTGTAAGTTTGGTGATAATTTGCCAAGTGGTTCTTGAGAAGAAGATTTTTTAGCAACCAGTACTTTTGTTTCTATTTTCCTAATTATCTCCCCTTATTTAAGGTTCACAACCCTAGTTTTAGTACAAACGGGAGCCCTTGGGCCAAGGATACCCTGTGACAAATTTGACAATAATTGACCAAGGGGTTCTTGAGTTATGGTCCATATTCTAAAAAGTTTACGCACACCACACAAATGGCCATAGCATTAGCTCTTTGAGCCTTTGGCTCAGAAGAGCTAAAAATGAACGATAAATCTCTTTGAGCCTTTTAATAATCAATATATACATTGAATTGAATAATCATCAAACAAACATTTATATTCATTAATCATCTCAAAATAATAGGTCAAGGGAATAATGAATACACAAATGTGTTCTAGGTAAAACTTGTTTAATTACACCACTGGTTCCACAGAAATTTGCCAGATTTGGACAACATTCAGGAAAAGACATTATTTTTAACAACTGAATTTCCTGACTGGGACTAAAAGTTTTCCTCATAATATCCAAATTTTAAAATACACAACGTCCAGATTAGACAAGTTTTACAGTTCAGGTTCTTTTATGCATTGGTTGAACTGACAAGCAACATGAACTGACATGCAACAAATCACAAGAAAATTAATAAGTAAGAATTTTTAAAAATAAAATCCTATAAAATAATTATGCGTAAAAGATAAATCCTGTATCTCATGGTTCCATGTTATCAAACTGCTGCACCCTTAGCCAGGATTATACAGCGGTCATCATACTGTGTATACCACAAGTACAGATCTACCACTCAGTACCTTAAAAAAGCCAGTAAGTATGAACCTAGGCTTCAGTATTGTACTGTACCATCCACTGCCTCAATATTGTACTGTACCATCCACTAAGTACTAACTGAAGCCTCAGTTGAAAATGTGTTGAATTTTCATATATCTAAAAGTTTACATTTTGTGGAAGACATGGATTTGTGGGTCTCTATATGCCATGAAAACAACAAAAGTTTAACCCCAACGAAAATAAATGATTTCACAGTAATACTGTAAATGTACTTTTTTCTACAGGTCATAATTCTGCAGAATCACTATTTCTGTTCAATCTGCAGGTAAAAAATTACAAGGATGTCTTGGATTGCCATTTATATCTCCAATGCACTACAAGTATGCTGTGACAAAATACCGTTGAAAGTTTGTGACCGGGGAACATAGCAAAAAATTAATCTAACGTGGAAAAAAGTACACCTACAGTACTTGTAAACATATTCCGGGGAACATAGCAAAGATTAATTTAACGTGGAAAAAAGTACACCTACGGTACTTGTAAACTTATTCCTTCAATCTTGAATACATTTCCATTTTATATGTGTAAATTTGCCAGAAATCATGTTCTACTGAATGGAAACAATACCCCATGAGAAAAAAGGAGGACACATCAATGTTCGTCAGAAATGTTTAAAATCGTACTGAGAAACAAACAGTTAACTGGGCCATGGTATAAAGGAGAAACGGGAGCCTCTGTATCCTCTACACCACGACCCCCTGTCAGCTGGAGCCCATCCCTGCTGTACAACCATAACAGTGACTGTCTGTCTGTATGTGTACACCCTCCAACTCACGGGCAGACAAAATATCAAACACTGTCATGGAATCTGAAAAGAGTGCAGACATCTAAACACCAGTATTTCTTTGACTAAATCACCCAATCATTACTACATGAAGCAAAAAGCAAAACATCTGGCTGTTTAATTTTGTCATTTCTTTATGTACATATACAACACTGCACAATTAAAGAATTTATAGAACATAACAGTCTATATTTCTAAAGAATTTAAAACAAACCTCTTGAATAATAAGATTTCTAAACAATCTTTCTTCAATTAATCTTAAGAGCTGAAAAGACATATCTGGCAAAGATGTGATTTTCATACTTTAAAGAAAGTGAAAGAAAACAGATGTTGTGAGGGGGAAAGGATGGGGGTAGGTGGGTTACCTTTAGTATTGTCCTTGGTGATTCCCATTTCCAGCTGTTGGTTAAAATCGCAGTCATAAATTTTCCCATTCCAATTGACATTTATCAGATTGCGACACATCAGCTTGTCTAAAGTGTGGATGTTATAGTTCCTGACCAGTAGCTCCATATAACTCTCTAGCTCATTTCTAAAATACAAAATATAATATCAAAGTTCTGGACCAGCAGCTCCATATAACTCTCTAGCTCATTTCTAAAATACAAAATATAATATCAAAGTTCTGGACCAGCAGCTCCATATAACTCTCTAGCTCATTTCTAAAATACAAAATATAATATCAAAGTTCTGGACCAGCAGCTCCATATAACTCTCTAGCTCATTTCTAAAATACAAATATAATATCAAAGTTCTGGACCAGCAGCTCCATATAACTCTCTAGCTCATTTCTAAAATACAAAATATAATATCAAAGTTCTGGACCAGCAGCTCCACATAACTCTCTAGCTCATTTCTAAAATACAAAATATAATATCAAAGTTCTGGACCAGCAGCTCCATATAACTCTCTAGCTCATTTCTAAAATACAAAATATAATATCAAAGTTCTGGACCAGCAGCTCCATATAACTCTCTAGATCATTTCTAAAATACAAATATAATATCAAAGTTCTGGACCAGCAGCTCCATATAACTCTCTAGATCATTTCTAAAATACAAATATAATATCAAAGTTCTGGACCAGCAGCTCCATATAACTCTCTAGCTCATTTCTAAAATACAAATATAATATCAAAGTTCTGGACCAGCAGCTCCATATAACTCTCTAGCTCATTTCTAAAATACAAAATATAATATCAAAGTTCTGGACCAGCAGCTCCACATAACTCTCTAGCTCATTTCTAAAATACAAAATATAATATCAAAGTTCTGGACCAGCAGCTCCACATAACTCTCTAGCTCATTTCTAAAATACAAATATAATATCAAAGTTCTGGACCAGCAGCTCCATATAACTCTCTAGCTCATTTCTAAAATACAAAATATAATATCAAAGTTCTGGACCAGCAGCTCCATATAACTCTCTAGCTCATTTCTAAAATACAAATATAATATCAAAGTTCTGGACCAGCAGCTCCATATAACTCTCTAGCTCATTTCTAAAATACAAATATAATATCAAAGTTCTGGACCAGCAGCTTCATATAACTCTCTAGCTCATTTCTAAAATACAAATATAATATCAAAGTTCTGGACCAGCAGCTCCACATAACTCTCTAGCTCATTTTTAAAATACAAAATATAATATCAAAGTTCTGGACCAGCAGCTCCATATAACTCTCCAGCTCATTTCTAAAATATAATATTCTTACACCACTTCTTCTAAAACATCTATTTTCAAATAGATATTTTATAAGAATCTAAAGATCTATATCTTTGATACAGTCTGTCAATCTTAATTTTATGATACAAATACTGCCAATCCTTTAGTTACCTTTGATAAAGCATCCTCATATTTGACACATAAAATATTTTGAAATTTTATGATACATTTGGTTTTGATACTAAAACCTTGTAACTAATTTTAAAAGTCATTTTTTGATGTGATAATGCTTATACCAGTCAGGGGTGATACTGAAATCCGTCATTTTTCATGTTTTTAAAATGACGATTTTTAGTCATAAAATAAAATTTTTATTATGACTTAAACTCGTCATTTTTAAGAAAATGACGAAAAACAGTCATAAAAATTTAGAGTGTTTCTAGAATACCGAGTTACCTCTCTTTGAAAAATGTTAGATCCACCAACCGAAAAAAGGACAAAAAACATCGTAAACAAACTTCATTTCTCTAATACAGTTGACTACAATACTGGTTATGTCGACAGTACAAATTTCCCAAGCAAAAATAAGAGTGGAAGAGTTATTTGTCAATTTATTTGCATTAAATAGGAAAGAAGACGAAAATGACGATATGCCGTCTTTTTTCAAAATGGAGGGTCTGGGCGCACTAAAATATCTCGCTTGTTTTACGGGGCGCACTACTTTTTTATGGCTTTAACTTTTTGTCAAGACTTTTCTCTACAAGTACGTATTCTTCCAGACGGTGTACTATATGTTTTTATAGGTTTAAAAGCCATGTAAAAATGGCGAATTAGTTCTACCAAAATTCGACATTTTACCGCTAAATAATAACTTTCACCTTCCATGTTGATGTTCTAACGCACGTGGTCGGCAGTAATTAGTGACCCGGATGAAATGAAACTTGCGTAAACACTCTTCTTTCAGCGGTGAATTCAAATTTCGCTTTTATGTAACCAGGATAGAAGAATAAAGTTGAAAAAGAATATATGACGATAGTAAGTCATACTGACAAAAATGACGAAAATACGTAGTTAGTAAATATGACGATTATCCATCATTTTTCAGAAATGACGGATTTCAGTCTCACCCCTGACTGTATACAGTAAAACGAGGTTACATCGAACATGCTTATATTAAATGCACATTCATAGCCAAGTAATTTTCATTTCTTGTTTAAAAGCCTATTATGAAATTATCAGATATAGTGAATAAATTCTATAATGAATCAAATTTGTTTGTCCCTTACACTTCACTATTGGCATGTTTTACTGTACATGTAATAACTTAATCCTCTAAACAAGAAGTGAATTAATCTTTACCTTCGATAGAGGAAGTCCGCAAAACGTTTGATTGGCATGTTGGTAATTGTGAAGAGCTGGTTAAACTTAATTCCGAAGAACTCCATCAGTTCTTGGCGGTATTTATCCTCCAGCGGTCCCTGGGGTGGGGGCAGGAAGGCACCTGTTGTGAATTATAACTGGCTGATCAGCATCGGTTGACATATTCTCAAACAAGTTATCATATTGGTGTTTGTTTAACAAAGGAATCATTAATTTCTATATGGGTGATATTCCAACTCCTATGTCCATTACATGATAAATAACACAAGATATTTTAAAGTTGCTGAAAAATAAAATGATTCGGAATATTTTTCTAATTTAAAATGGTGATCACAGCCCTTTCAGTAAGGTTTGACATTTATGCAAAAGATTTTCCTTCTTCCAAATTTAAAATGAATTAAATCAAGGGACTTTTGTACAGGTCTATTTGGGCATATACATGCACTTACTGTAATTTAAGGTTATCTCCAACCTCCTATGACATCATAAGTTATTGCGATAGTTTTCATTAAAACTTGGGTGACAATAAAAAATATTTCTTTTGTAGAAATGTTTCACAATGTGTACAATGAAAAAATAGTGCTTCGTAAAAGAATAAAGGAAATTAATACTTTTTCATAATAAATCAAGTCTTTAAAAAAGTGGTGCAAAGGGCAATAACTAACATGTTTCTCCTTTTATTGTATTTTCTCGTATTATATATTGACATTCATATTTACATGTATATTTATTAATAAAGTAGCAATTATTTGAATTTTTTTTGTATTACATTTATTTTATATGAACCTGTTTTTATGCATTTTTAAAAATCCTGTAAGTGCATGTTTACCAATATATATTTTTGTTTGCTTATGTTTGTTAACTAATCCTCTAAGATTGAAGTCTGTCAAGCAAAGGGTTCTGAAGATATTGAGCAGACAATATCTACCTATGTCTGGAGTGGTTTAACCCTTGACCTTTGACTTGTGACCTTAATAGGGGTCATCAACTCCTTATGTGGAACCAGTGCACGAAGTTTGATGTCTGTCAAGAAAAGGGTTCTCAAGATATTGAGAGGACAACACCTTAATTGGTCTATTGTCCAAGTCATACTGACTGAAAGGTGCAAATCAATATGTCCCCTTTTTTCAAGGGGGCATAATAAAATGAATAATTTTTTTATTCAAAATACTGTTTACAGATATGCACAACAGATCTACTGATCTGTCAGTAAAATTTGACATTTATGCAGAAAATTTTCCATCTTCAAAATTTAAACGTATTGAGCATTGTAACCGCAAATGATTAGATGACACTTTGGACAACAAAACAACAAGTAAAGATTAAACAAAAAGTCTGTGAGCCAGTGCTCACTAGTAATACCCCCGCTTTGATGTGAATGTACACAAGTTAAGTTATGGACAGACGCACGAATAAACAGGAAGTTGACATCGGATTTGTACAAAAATGATTCCCACCATATGGCATGCCTAAACAAAGAATTTGCTAAAATTTCAAGCATCTGCAATCAGTAGTTGCTGAGAAAACTGCAACCAAAATTTGTTATGTATGGTACGGACAGACGCATGGATAAACAGGAAGTTGACATCGGATTCGTACAAAAATTAATCACACCATATGGCATGCCTAAACAAAGAGTATGCTAAAATTTCAAGCATCTGCAATCAGTAGTTGCTGAGAAAACTGCGACCAAAATTTGTTATGTATTGTACAGACAGATGCACGGATAAACAGGAAGTTGACATCGGATTCGTACAAAAATGATTCCCACCATATGGCATGCCTAAACAAAGAATGTGTTAAAATTTCAAGCATCTGCAATCAGTAGTTGCTGAGAAAACTGCGACCAAAATTTGTTATGTATGGTACGGACAGACGCATGGATAAACAGGAAGTTGACATCGGATTCGTACAAAAATTAATCCCACCATATGGCATGCCTAAACAAAGAATGTGTTAAAATTTCAAGCATCTGCAATCAGTAGTTGCTGAGAAAACTGCGACCAAAATTTGTTATGTATCATACGGACAGATGCATGGATAAACAGGAAGTTGACAAGGGATTTGTACAAAAATGATTCCACCATATGGCATGCCTCAACAAAGTGTGTGCTAAAATTTCAAGCATCTGCGATGAGTAGTTGCTGAGAAAACTGTGACGAAAATTTTGTTACGGACAGACAGACAGACACACACAGACGGACAGACAGACACACAAGGGTAAAACAGTATACCCCCCTCTCCTTCGGAGCGGGGGTATAAAAATAATTTCATTCTGACACTACTCTGTTTCTCAATTTAAAACAACTTTTGTGCTCATCATTCGGGCTGCGGGGCATGTCCTCATTGTAATTTAATAAAACTTGGAGCCAAATAGAAATATTTCTTTTTCTTTTTTTTTTTTTTATAGATGTTTTACAATCCTTACTATGAAAAAATATGGTTTAGTAAAAAAAAAAAAAAAAGGTGCAAAGGGAAATAACTCTCACTTGTGTTTCTTCATTCATTGTTTTGTTTTCTCTGACATCCATAATTATTTATATTTATCAATAAAGTAACAATAGATTTAGATATTAAACTTATATTTTCTGAACCTGTTTTTATGCATTTTAGTAATGTTACAAGTGTTCGCCAAAATGTGTGATATGGTTATATGTGTCTGACATCTTAACAAAGGTGGCAACCTATAAATTTTCTGTGTTTATTAAAAATATATTCAGAGAAAATCATTGCAGTTTTCTGCTTTGAACCAATGAAAGTGTGAAGGCCAGTGGAGACACAATGTTTCATATATAATTGAACAAGATTTATTATCACTCAAGCACCTTCATTAATCATGCATTATTTAACAGAGGTTTTGAACTGAAAAAGGTGAAAATTCAATATATTTGGATGTGTTGAAACTAGAAAATATTTACTTGGCCAATGCACTTTCATTGCATAGAAATGGCCTGTCTAGTACTAAAAACAAAATACTTTTGTATATCACCAGGGACCTATACACTAATTGTATATAGGTCCCTGATTTTACAAATACATGTAACTGTATTGTTGATATATTTGTACCAAATTCAACTATATATCTTGAAATTCTAAATATTATAAAATGTGTAGCTTTGAATATGACCCTCATTAAATGTTCCACAATGAATTTCTTGTTTGCAAATGTATTTTGGAAAAAAATCTTTCCATTAGCTTTTTCTAATACCCTTGCATGCACGAGATTTTTTTCTGTGATAAGAAACACCATATCTTTAAGTGGAATGTTTTAGGTTCCCAAAGTCTTACTACATAATCCATAAGCTGTCCTTTGAAGGATATTTTGAAGAAAAAGTCAATTGTATGTATTACAACATCCCCATGTGCTACATAAAAAAGAATTCGCCAGACCACTTACCAAGAGGATTGTAGACTAGGTCCAGCTTTAGACCCGAGCCCTCTTCTCCATACCCGAGGGAGTTAAACTTGATCAGAGCTTGTATGCTCCTATCAAACACTCCCTTTCCCCTCTGTTGGTTAACATTCTTAGCTGTGTAACAGGGTAGGGAAGCTACAATATTCACTTGGTGATCCTTCATAAACTCTGCAGTGTCCTCCTGTCCTGTAAAATAATGAAACTGGCTCAAAAATTAATTAAAAGAACTGTTATTTGTGTTGTAGTATATGTATGATTTTACTTACTTATGTATTATCCAGATTCAAAAAAATAAACAAAAATGCTCAGAGAGAGAGAGAAAGAGAGAAAGATTACACTCTTAATTTATATATTTGTGTCATAGAGCCTCAGACTGATTAACAACCCAGAAAAGGAGGTCACTCTAATTATTTACCTGGTTCTGTGTGTACGGTGAGGTTACTCCTTATTAGTCCCCTACCGGTGAAACCAGAGGGGACTAAAGGTTTCCTCTGAGTCTGTCCGTCCGTCTGTCTGTCCCTCTGTCTGTCTGTCAGTCTGTCCCACTTGGTTTTCCGCACTTTTTTCCTAAACGCTTGCAGATATTGAGCTGATTTTTTTGTATGTGAGTGTATCTTGATGAGTTACAGATCAAGTTTGCATGGTGAGGTTACACCTTATTTACCTGGTTCTGTGTGTACAGTGAGGTTACTCCGTACAATAATCTTCTTCCCGAGTTTTCGGCCTCCACTAACCAGATATCTAAACTGATCTAACAGCTCCGGGGCACCTCCTACAACACACACATGTACAGTGTACTATGTATTTCAAATAGCATGATTAATGGCAAAAACATTTTCAAAATTCTTCTTTGCAACTTTCAGTGTTTTCAATAGAAGAAAATAAATTTGAAATAGGAGGAAACCAATCATGGCGAGAGGTCTGGAAACAAAAATTAGCATTTTGACTCATTTTTCTTACCTCTCAGGTCAACAAAATGTTAAGTAAATAATTTATTCAAAAATTTAAGAACTTTTAAACACAGAGTATCAAAATACATGTATTCTACTAAAATATATGAATGACGAAAATCTCACAGCTGGCAAAATTTCTTGTACAGGTGGTTAATTCTGCCAGTTGATGTTTCCTTAAGAAGATCCAAATGGAAGGATTTTTCTTTATATTCAAACTGATTACCTTTTATTTCTGTGTTGTATTTTACCTGTGATATTTAGTGTGTGGATAGAGGGACTATTTTGGATATTCAGGATGACTACCCTTTATTTCTGTGTTGTTTCTTTTACCTGTGATATTTAGTGTGTGGATAGAGGGACTACTTTGGATATTCAGGATGACTATCCTTTATTTCTGTGTTGTATTTTACCTTTGATATTTAGTGTGTGGATAGAGGGACTACTTTGGATATTCCGAATGACTACCATTTATTTCTGTGTTGTATTTTACCTGTGAGTTTTAGTGTGTGGATAGAGGGACTACTTTGGATATTCAGGATGACTACCCTTTATTTCTGTGTTGTTTCTTTTACCTGTGATATTTAGTGTGTGGATAGAGGGACTACTTTGGATATTCAGGATGACTATCCTTTATTTCTGTGTTGTATTTTACCTTTGATATTTAGTGTGTGGATAGAGGGACTACTTTGGATATTCCGAATGACTACCATTTATTTCTGTGTTGTATTTTACCTGTGAGTTTTAGTGTGTGGATAGAGGGACTACTTTGGATATTCAGGATGACTACCCTTTATGTCTGTGTTGTTTCTTTTACCTGTGATATTTAGTGTGTGGATAGAGGGACTACTTTGGATATATTCATTTCCCTTTATATCTGTGTTGTGTTTTTCCTGTGAGATTTAGTGCATGGATAGAGGGACTACTTTGGATATTCAGACTGACTATCCTTTATTTCTGTGTTGTATTCTACCTTTGAGATCCAGTGTGTGGATGGAGGGACTATTTTGGATATTCAGGCTGATTACCCTTTATTTCTGTGTTGTATTCTACCTGTGAGATCCAGTGTGTGGATGGAGGGACTATTTTGGATATTCAGAATGACTACCCTTTATTTCTGTGTTGTGTTTTACCTGCGAGATTTAGTGTGTGGATAGAGGGACTACTTTGGATATTCACAATGACTACCCCTTACGTCCTTGTGGTATTTTACCTGTGATATTTAGTGTGTGGATGGAGGGACTATTTTGGATATTCAGGCTGATTACCCTTTATTTCTGTGTTGTATTCTACCCAGGGCTCGAAATAATTGATGGCCCGCTGGTCTGGGTCCAGTGGATTTTCAATCTGGGCTAGTACATTGCAGAGGGCATGTGCCCTTTGGGTCAGCATTTTTTTTTATGCATAATAAAAGTCATTCACAGTAGGGCTAGTTAACTTGCCAGTGTTGTATGTCCCAACTTCTACTGTTTCTTGTTTTGTTAAGTTGTACTTCTAAGTATCACAATATAAAAACAAGAGGCCCATGGGCCACATCGCTCACCTGAGCACATTGGCTAGGAAAAAAAGCAAAAATCAGTACAGTATTGAAAAGTTTACAGGGAGGGGGGTGTTGAATTTTAAACTACCTGATGATGCTTTCATATCAATATAACAAATGGCTTTGTTGTTCTTGAGCAGCAGATTTTTTTCCCATATATTCATTTGTAAAAATTTGATCCCCCATTGTGTCCCCACCCTACCCCCGGGGGCCCTCATTTGAACAAATTTCATTCTACACTACCGAAAGATGCCTCCATATCAATTTGACTAATCATGGCTTTTCTGTTCTTGAGAAAAAGACTTTTTCCTATATATTCCTCTGTAAACTTTGATCACCCATTGTGGCCCCAACCTATCCCCGGGGTAATGATTTGAACAAACTTGAATCTTCACTATCTGAGGATGCTTCCATATAAATATGACCAATCATGGCTTTACTGTTCTTAAGAAGAAGATTTTTAAAGATATTTTCCTATATATTTCTATGTAAAACTTTGATCCCCCATTGTGGCCCCACCCTACCCCCGGGGGTTATTATTTGAACAAATTTGAATCTTCACTACCTGAGGATGCTTCCATATAAATATGACCAATCATGGCTTTACTGTTTTTAGAGATATTTTCCTATATATTTCTATGTAAAACTTTGATCCCCCATTGTGGCCCCACCCTACCCCAGGGGGTTATGATTTGAACAAATTTGAATCTTCACTACCTGAGGATGCTTCCATATAAATATGATCAATCATGGCTTTACTGTTTTTAAGAAAAGATTTTTAGAGATATTTTCCTATATATTTCTATGTAAAACTTGGATCCCCCATTGTGGCCCCACCCTACCCCCGGGGGTCATGATTTGAACAAACTACAATCTACACTACCTGAGGATGCTTCCATATAAATATGACCAATCCTGGCTTTGCTGTTCTTAAGAAGAAGATTTTTAAAGATATTTTCCTATATATATCTATGTAAAACTTGGATCCCCCATTGTGGCCCCACCCTACCCCCGGGGGTCATGATTTGAACAAACTACAATCTACACTACCTGAGGATGCTTCCACAAAAATATGACCAATCATGGCTTTGCTGTTCTTAAGAAGATTTTTAAAGGTTTTTTTCTATATATTTCTATGTAAAACTTGGATCCACCATTGTGGCCCCACCCTCCCCCTGGGGGTCATGATTTGAACAAATTTGAATCTACACTACCTGAGGATGCTTCCATAAAAATATGACCAATCATGGCTTTGCTGTTCTTAAGAAGAAGATTTTTAAAGATATTTTCCTATATATTTCTATGTAAAACTTGGATCCCTCATTGTGGCCCCACCCTACCCCCGGGGGTCATGATTTGAACAAACTTGAATCTACACTACCTGAGGATGTTTCCATATAAATATGACCAATCTTGGCTTTACTGTTCTTAAGAAGAAGATTTTTAAAGATATTTTCCTATATATTTCTATGTAAAACTTGGATCCCCCATTGTGGCCCCACCCTACCCCCGGGGGTCATGATTTGAACAAACTTGAATCTACACTACCTGAGGATGTTTCCACATAAGATTCATCTTTCCTGGCCCAGTGGTTCTTGAGAAGAAGATTTTTAAATGATGCCATTATTTTTTCACTAATTCCTAATTATCTCCCCTTGAAAGAGGGCTTGGCCCTTCATTTGAATAAACTTGAATCCCCTTTACCCAAGGATGCTTTGTGGCAAGTTTGGTTGAATTTGGCCCAGTGGTTCTTGAGAAGATGAAAATGTGAAAAGTTTACAACAACAACAACAACGCCAACGACGACAGACAACGGAGAAAATTTTGATCAGAAAAGCTCACTTGAGCCTTTGGCTCAGGTGAGCTAAAAAATATTACTATTATTATTATGGTTTTGGGCCAGTCTTTTTAAAATCTACTGGCCCAGTGGGACAGTGAAAGTACTAAGCTGACCAGTAAACAAAAATAATTATTTCTAGCCCTGCTACCTGTGAGATCCAGGGTATGGATGGAGGGACTATTCTTGAGGATATTCAGACATCTTTCAGCGACTTCATGGCTCATCATTTCTTTACGGCGTGGTGAAGACTCTACATGACAGTGGTTACATGCCTGGTTACAATACAGTCCTATATTGGCCTGCAGGACCTCTATTGTCTTTTTATTTAATGCATCCTCAGTGTCTGAAATATGAACATTTCTTAAGCACTGAATAAAATGGACTAAAAAACAAATATACAAATTTTTGCATTCCTCAATTGTTAAGTATCAATGTTTTTACTCCTAAAATTAACAGTTACACAGAAGGTGTTTCAGCATTATTCCTGGTCAATGTTCCTAAAGTTTCAAGAATTTTTCCCATTGTTAATATGATTTATTTGCATAAATTTTCCCATTCAAAATAGAAAACAAGTAAAATAGCACTTATAGTTAGTATAAAATTACTTGGTAGCCTAAAATCTGAAATAAAATTTACACACTTTAAAGTTGAGTACATCATCAAACAGAATACATGTAACAGAGAAATGATGGATTCTTCTGTGTTATTTAAATGAAAAAAAGAAGAAAACTTCAAAATACCAATATGTTGTGCATCATTTTCTGCCCTTTTCAGCTTCCAGTAATCCTCAAAGTCTGGAACATTCAGATTTGTCAGTGCTCTCTGTCTGCGCTTTCTTTCCTCTTTTGTCAATTTTTTGGTCCCCATTTCTTTAATTTTTGCGGCTGTCAATTTGAAGTCTTCGTCTTCCTCCATGGCTTTCAACGTCTCTGGTATAAGTGAACCCTAATAAATAAGTCAGAGTTAAATATAACATACTGATAAAAATAAACCACATAAGATGTTGTCCTGTCTTCTAATGTCAAAATGAGTGGTTTTTTGCCTATACTTATGACTGCTGTCAGATAAAAAACAAAAAGCATGTTGATAAATTAAAATCTGCATGCTCTTTCTTAGGGTTATTAATCATGTATCTGCACATGGTTTATACAGTTTAAAAAAATGGCATGTTTAACAATTTATTCTCATTTAAATCCTCAATTTTTTTGCTCTCTAGATTAACACATGTCCATTGCTGAAATGCTTTTAGTGATCTTTTCCCACAAGTTAGCATTTTTTGATACTTGAATTCATATATAAAAGAGATCATAATTATGTATAATTTCAAGATAATGTCAAATAAAATACTCATTTGTACATGCTAGTATTTAGAGCTGAAAACAAACCTTGGTTCTTTCTGCTAGAGTCTGGAGCCCCTCCCATTTTGGTGTGGGTGGAGGCTTTTTCGGTCGTGTCAGACGGTGACTGTTAATGTCAACAGATGTATTATAGTCAGGCAGGTGGACATCTTTGTAGTGACTTCCTAGCCTTGAACTACACAGGCGGAATGAGCGTCCACAGATACGTTGGCAATGGTAACAGAGAGGTTTTAGATTAAGCATGCCTGAAAATATGTATAAGGTGCTTGTTGATAATGAATTACAAATGAGATAAAAATCGATTTCTTTTTTTTTTTTATACTTTGACTACAATGAAGGCATCAAGTTTGACTGGTCTATTTCACCCCTAACCCCCCCCCCCCCCCATTTATCTTGTAAACAAATTATCTGACTCATCATTCTTGTTGTTGTGTATGTGCATCTAAGTGCAGGGTAATAAACCCTATTTGAACAAAGTGTATCTATCAGTGGATAGATGCATCATCTCACATGACTATAAATTAATTCCAAAGATCAGATTTTACCAATGAAAAATAAAAGATTTTATCAGTTTAATATTGCAACTGTGCAAATATTTGTTTTAACATGTTTAAATCTCCAGTTAAAACATGATAAATGTAAAATATAAGTCCTCTCTCCAGCATTGTGTTGCACTTTTATGAATCATTTAAATCTGCAAATTCAAATTTTTTTAATATAAAAAGTACTGAATATTCACTTGTCATTGGTAATTAAGTTTTACCTAAATTGGGAAAGAAGAGCAATTTTTTAAATTGGGACAGGGTCCTTTTACCTGTCCTATATGCAATGGATAGTTAAACCCTGTAAGATGTGGGTTAAATTACATAGATGAAATTTATTCACTACTTTAAGCATGTTAAGTAACATATACAATGGAAATGTATATCTATGAGACATCATATGATGTCACAGTCTTGACCTTCCAAATATTGTGTGGTTTGTTTTTTGTACTCAAGAAAGGGTGATCATGTGACCAACTTCATGTCATCAAAAATTGAAAGTAAATTTCGTTAGTATTGTCATTTAAGTAAACACATTGGCAAATGTAAACAGGGAACAGATTATAGAAATGAGTTATCCTTCCTAATCTGGGTGCAATAAAAACAAAATCGACCAAGGACAAGTGGATGTCTGATAATCTGCTTTCTCCCAGGTGATGAGTAAAATATTTGGTGTGATAATTTCCTTCTGTTCATATCTGGTGATAATGTCATAAAAATGAGAAAAAAAATGCTTTCAGATTTGACAAAAGACACAGGTCTAGACTCTGAATGAAGGTTGTATGTTCGTTCGCCCTAAAACTTGTTCGCCCTTGACGCCGTTCGCCCTATTTCCCGTTCGCCCAGAGTTCGATCGCCCTAAAACTTGTTCGCACAGGGTCCGTTCGCCTTATTTATATTGCAGGAAGTTGAATAATGAACCAATGGATTTTTTAAATAAATTGTATGTACATTGGTACATAAATTGCACACGGGAGACAACAGACGTATCGGCAGACCAACAGAAATTAACGTCTCAGTCCTTTAATTGTTTCCAAAACATAACGCAGACTGTACGATCCCCTAAATTACAGTGACATTATTAAGTATAATTAAATCAATTATAAGCATGTAAAGAGCATAAATATCAAATTTGAATTATTTAATTAAGATTACGGTAAATAAAAAAAATACTGTAACAACATTTGAAAACAAAACACCAAGTCGTAAAATATTGAATAAAATTAATAATAAATGTTAATATTTACTATATACTGTATATATAATAGGGCGAACGAGATATAGGGCGAACAAGAATAATGGCGAACGGACCCTGCGCGAACGGACTCATGCGAACAGGTAGATAGGGCGAACGAACCTGATACCCTGAATAAATAAATACACTGGTCATATGACATGATATGTATATATCAGACACAGTTTGAGAAGCCAAAGAAATCTAAGACAAGCTTTAATCTTTTTTATTACTTGGCAAAAAACAAGCTTTTGTAAGGGGCGAGTAAAAGATCATGGGGACAATTGAGTATGATCCCCTGGGACGAGCGGTCATTGAAATTCTTTTCACCCTGCTTATCTTTGCTGTTAGGTTGGATTATTTCCCTGAGTCAAAGACCGCTGTCACATAATCAAGCAAATTTCACTTCATATTTACGATGGGATGGGGATAAAATAATGAAAATTGACATTTGACCTTATAATCCTTCATTTTATTTTTAGGACGAAGTGCTAGGCCTAACAAACATGCCTCAAGACACGCGAAAATATTATGTAAACAGAGAAAATCTCCGTTTGTTTTGTTGACATTGTTTTATTGCTATCAAACATTACCCGCCTCATAAACTTGTGTTTTTTGTCATTCATATTCTCACCTTTTAAATCCCTTCAAATGAAACTTTACACCCCTTGCAAATAGACATGCAGTCCATGTCCCACAAACCGAGCTTTGATCGGAAGTTCTCGGGAATTTTCAACCAGGAAAGTATGGAGCGTTCAAAGCATCATAAAGTAGGTTATAAATTTACAATAATTTGTGGTTTTATTTTTCGTTCTTTTTTATGAAAGAAAAAAATATAGCCTAACATACAATGTATAAATACCAATGATTTTACGGAGTAGATATATTTTTCTTTTAAGATTTTCCACTCCAAACTGTATAGAATGTAACAAACAGACTTTAAAAAATGATTATCTTAAGCATATTCAATTATTTTTTTTAACTTGAAAATATTTGAAGTCATTGGAATGATTTAAAAAAAAAAAGTGGGCCTGGTCTTTCACAAACATCAGTTCTTCCTAAGTTAAATGCTATATATCACATATAAATATATTTCTGTAAATTAATGTTATTAAATGTTAATCATGTCATTTATAATTAGATACAGTATCTCAGAAACAATTCACTTTTGTTTTATTCATGTAAATCAAAGTTAAAAATTCATGCCAGGCCATCTTTAAAAAACTGTTTGGTTGCCCTCTCCCGAACGACTGGCTAAAAATGACTCAAATTTTTTTAATCCCCAGGAAGCATTTTTTTTATGCACTCTGGAAAAATAGATTTTGAAAAATCAACATTAAATTTAAATTTTCTGAGAAAAAAAATTCTCACCTACCTATACCGACCCAATTTTTTCATCCTGAGTCGAGAGAGGGCAAACAAACATAGTTAATTTTAAGTTGGCCCCAGGTCATTTTAATTAAATAAAAAAAAATAGATGTGTTGTAACGCCACGAATGCCCCCGCAGGCAGCCAAAATTTCAAATGCAATGTCAACCTTATACATACATGTACATCCCTACAAAAGTTAGAGAGCGGAAACTGATTTTTTAAAAAATAATATTCTCAATTCAAGAGGGATAACTCTGTCAGAAATCATCGAACCACAACTATAAATTCAAACTTGACCTGTATTTTCTGGTAAAAGACCTGCATATGCAATTCCAGCCTTTTAAATACATCTCTACAAAAGCAAGAGAGCGGAAACTGAAAATTTCTTATTTTTTCTAAGTTCAAGAGGGATAACTCTGTCAAAAATCATCGGGCCATGACCAAATTCATACTCGACCTACATATTCCTATGACGTATCCATATTGAGTTGAATGTGTGCAACTGTTGCCGAGATAATGAACGGAAAGTCGATGATGACGGAATGACAGAATAACGGAACAGGGTACAGTCCCTGAAACGTTCTACTTTCCCATTTTTCCGTTCGCTAACCGTTCGTTCACCGTTCGTTCAGCGTGCGTTCACCGTTCGTTCACCGTGCGTTCACCGTTCGCTCTCCGTTCACAGTTTTGCATTCACCGTTCACCGTGCGCTCGCGTTCACCGTTCACAAAGCGTTCAGCGTTCGCTCTTCGTTCCGTTCACTTTGCGTTCACCTTGCGTTCAGCGTTCACCTATCGTTCAGTTTTCATTGTCATTCGGAACTCCGAAGTGAAAGGACTTATCTTTTTGTAGGGAAGGAGTTACAGGTTTCTTAATTTAATAACTAACATATCGTGTTTGAAGAATCATTATTTCATGTTGAAAAATATATTTTTATTATTCTAACTTAGCTGTTAGGTTATTTATTAAATTACTGGAAAGTAAATGTTGTTATAAGCACATTCTGTACCTATGTAGAACGATGCTGAAATATTAAATTTAACTAAGGGCAATGTGCAAATACTTCAAGCACTGCAACATTTTGTTGTTTTGTTAAAGACGACAAATCGTTAATGGTGATATAATTATCCAAGTCAAATAATTACGCAGCAAAATTACGAAAATATTTATTTCTAACACGTTTTTTTAATTACTACAAAAAATATTATAGAACTAGTTCTGAGAGTTATACATAGTACTGCGGATGTCCTGTTTATTATCTTTGGAGCGAATTAAATTGATAGTGTGGTTAAAGGAAATATTTATTTAAAATGTACTGCACTACAGAACTTTCTCTACTATAATGTGTAAAGTCTATAGTTATAGAGAAAAAAATTCTCTCTTCACCGTAACTTTATATGTTTGCCATTCGATATGAATAATAACCCCCCCCCCCCTTTTCCCCTAAATCGGTTACTTAGTCAGTACTGCATTTCCAGAATATTTTAATGAACATTTTTTAAAGAAAGTTAAGGTCTTTTTTAGAACAAAAATTTCAGTCTCAAAACAAACATGCATCTAAAAAAGTCACAAAACAATAGTTACTGTAGATCAAAATGTACACGTGTCGGCGGTGGTTTTTGGAATTGGCAGAGAGTATGTATCAAATTCAAGTGTTAATGCCCAATGTATTTTATTCATTTATTATTCAAATGTTGGAATCAAATCTAGAAATGATAAAAATAAATGTTATAACTTGTTGGAAATACTCGCACTCCGTCTTCGATGTGACGAAACTTTCACACCTGCACAGTGTTGAATGATTTTGATTGACAGGACAAGCACGTGGACTTCGTGTGAAATCGAAGCAGGAACATAAAAACGAGTATGACTGTCAAACAAATGGATATGATTTGTTGATTAAAAAAAGTTACTTTCTCTGTCTGATATATTTAGAAAAAAAATCAGAGTTTTTGTTTGATATAGGTACAAACATTTAGTGAAGCCTGAAAGGAGGGGGGGGGGCTAAAACGGAATATTTCTCTCTCTCTCTCTCTCTCTCTCTCTCTCTCTCTCTCATTTGTCTGTTTAATAAAAACTATAACAGCATATTACTTAAATATCAAGTTCTGAAAATTGAATTTATAACAAATAATATGAATATGTATCTTGTCCGAGTATAACCACGGCCATCTACATATACATGTAGAAGTATGCTCAATAAATCATCACGAAAAATAGAAATGACACATAATATATTATTATGTTAAAAATTTAAAATACGAGCGTATAAATGCAAAACGTCCACTGACCTTTGTAATTAATTTTTTTTCATTAATTTACACGAAATCGCCTTGACACGGAGATATATGAATGGATGTTACAACCGCTTTAATTCATTCTATAAGTCAGAAGTTTTCTCTGATTTGTTATCAAATAAGAATAAACATTTTTATTTTCCAACTAAAAAAATATCTTTTATACTTCAGCGCTCGATAACAATTGCAATGTTTTAATGCTATAAAAATCGTGTGATTAAAAACTTTATGTGCATGCATCGTCTTTCTTAGGACAATTTTGGAGAATTTATTTTATTGACTTAAATAATCATTCATTTATTGGTTTATTTATTTATTTATTTGGCACCTTAAAATATAATACAATAAAATAGTTTCAATGCAAGGAAAAGATCAGAGGCATTCCGAATATATCGTTCATCTTGCGTTCACCGTTCACTTTGCGTTCGCGTTTGCGCTCCGTTCGCGTTCAGCGTTCACTCACCGTTCACCGTTCACCGTTCACACATCGTTCACCAAATTGCGTTCAGCGTTCACACATCGTTCACTCACCGCTCGCTCTGCGTTCGTTCAGCGTTCGTTCACCGTTCAAGTGGGAAAGTAGAACGTTTCAGGGACTGTAACACTTATGCCCCGGGGCATAAGTTCAGGTCATTTAAAATATCAGTTCCACAGTATAAACTAGCTATCAGGTCAATATTCTAAGTGGCTGTCATTATTATATTCCCCAAACGAACTTTGTTTTTTGTTTTTTTCAAAATTTCTTCTCAGGTACATTTTTTCCGCGAGTATTCTCGGAAACTACTCATCCGATTGGGATGAAAACAGGCAGATGTGCGGAACGAAGGTCATTTTGCGCGTGCAATGAGTGAAATGACCGATATACTTAATATAGCTGTATCTTTTATATTTTTTGATGAAATGCTTTAAAACTCAAGCAATAAAGATTGTATATTGATAGTGTAGATAAGTTGACATTGTGAAATTAGCATGAAATTAGCATTAACTCACGCTCATGCACGTCCGCTTCGCTCTGATTGGTTGAAATAAAAATCTCAATATCTTCCTTGTTTCTTGACAAAATACTTTGAAATTTAAAATAAAGGTATATGGGCAAGGATCAGCTATTTGTAAATAATAACGGCCGTCAGATTGAAAAAAAATTGTGTCAATATTTTTACACTTTTTCTAGTTGAAAACATCTATATTTATATCTTCCTTCATGAATTGAAAAAGAAAAGATAGTTGTGTTTTTATTTTTTAAGAAAATCGCATCCAAATATAGGTGATCAAAAAGTGACGGGCGTTATGTTGACACAGTTAATGCGAATTTTGAAGGTTTTTTCGCCCTCCTCGAAACGTTAAAAAAACCACCACATGCATGAATCTGACCACACTTTCACTTGGAATGAATTAGACAGCTTTTTTTGACCTATCTGTAAAATAAATAAGGCACAATTAATCGTGACGGAGGTGACGTCAAATTCTCTTGCTGTAGCATTTTCATCATTCTTACTTTCTGCAAAGAAATCGTGTTTTCGGTGTTTTTTTCACTACATGAGGAAATCAAACTAGTTTTTCATTTTAAAAAAGCAGAATAAGGTACATTACTTCTTCCTTTAACTATTTTTTATCCTGTTTAATAAACGGATGTTATATTTGACCTTTTGACAAAAATGGATTTTACAAATTGACAAACTAAGGTTTGCTAGTTACGGAGGTTACATTGACGCTGATTTTTAAAGCATTTCGTAAGTTTTCTTAAGAATACACATGATTTTATTCATGCAATGAAGTTTGTGTGTCAAATATCTGCATCCAAACATTCTGCTAATACTATAATTAAAACTACTGCAAGTATTTTCATAAATTTTTTAAGCACTGTGACGGATGTTACAATATAACGTCCGTTACGGTTTTTCATGGTAGTTACATTTTAACTCCCTACGGGCTTTGTAATTTTTATTTAGTAAATTTATTATTTGTTCTTCATTAATCAGTTAACATACAACTGAAGTTTACTGATAAAATTTTATCTTTAATAACATAA